TTATTATTATTATTTTTATTATTATTATTTTTATTATTATTATTTTTATTATTATTTTTAACCTTATTTTTCTATATTTTTTTTTCCTGTTTAATAATCTGCAAAAATGAATTTTGTGTGTTTATAAATAGTCAGATTGTTTTTTTTTTTAAACATATTTTTTATATAATACATTTTGAAATGTAACCAGTTTCTTTTTGGTAATTTCTTATTTCTGTGACTGTTGGATTTATTGTAAACGTAGTTTTGACTTTAATCCGATTCTTTTTCTATCCAACTTTCTGTTTTTAGTCTGTTTTTGAATCTTGGTTCATGCTGTAGGAAGTTATATTTTTTATAGTCGTGGACTTCTTTGACTTTTATGTTTCAGGGTTTTTTTTAGGATGTAGATCTTTCTCTTGTCTTTTTTACAAACTGTTGTACTTCCCAAAATAGTTTTTTAATAATTGTTATTTTTCTTTTTTTTTGATAAATATTTGTTGGGTTTGTTTCTGAATGACTGTGCTGTGATTACCTGATGTGAGAGTCGTGTGCTGGTGTTTTTCTGTGTAACGAGTCGATGTTTAAATGGAAAAATCAGACTGAGCTGAAAGAAGGAAACGATAATGAGAAACTCTGAGAATAAAATCTTTTCTGTCCCTTTGTCGTCTTTTCCTGCCGCTCTGGGTTTCAGGAAACCTCTGGGTTTCCAGGATCTACCTGCTCACCTGGAGAAGCTGCTGTCTGAGGACACGCCTACCGAGGACGGTGAGGCTGGAAGCGTCTGTCTGCCTTTAAAACCAAACCTTATGGTCTGTGACTCAGAACGAGCTCAAATGTCTGATAACACTAACACGTCACCTGAACGTGTGCAGGTCAGGCTGTGGACGGTCGTCTGGGTCCTCAGCCCGTTGTCCTCGATCACACCAGCGGCTTTGAAGGGCTCCTGTTTGTAGACGACGACCTGCTGGGGGTGAGACACGCCGGAGACCATAAACCAGTGAAACCAGTCAAAGTTTGGACTTTGATAGGAAGTGTTTTTCTACAGTACCAATGTGTGATGAATTTCTCTGCATTCAGGTCATCGGCCACAGCAACTTCAGCTCCATCCGAGCGACCACCTGTGTTTATAAAGGTACGCCGTCTCTGACCCAGAAAAAGCTTCGACTTTTGGGTTTGTGCTGAACCGACTCAGTAAATATGACACACAACAAAAATGAGCCCTGAAACCAAAAAACTGTCACAGGAAACGTGACCTTTTCTGCAGATGGGCTTGCTTTTCACAATAAAAGTCCAGTTTAGAAAGGTCGTCTGATCTGGTTTTTCTGTATTATTGTCAACCTTCCAAAATAAAGCACCCTGAGGCGACTGTTGTGATGTGGAGAATGATTTTGGGCTGTTTCTGTCTGCAGGGAAGTGGGCCTACGAGGTGCTGATCTCCTCTCAGGGTCTGATGCAGATAGGCTGGTGTACCCTCAGCTGTCGCTTCAATCAGGAGGTATATACACACCTTGATGATGAACCCTGTAAAGGCCTTGACACAGCGCATGTTGTGGGGAAACAAAGAGCTGTTTATTCATATGTGAAAAATCTGAAAGAAAGAAATGCTGCAGGTTGATCCTGCAAACGTACGCAGTGAGCGTCAATGGCTCCATTAAGACTGCAGACATGAACCCGGGGGCTCAATCGTGAGACGCGTGAAAAACTGGGACAGCTGTGAAGGACTTCCTTCTTGTTTCTGTCTTTTCTTCCTTTTATCTTTATTTTCTCACAAAGTTCAATATTGTTGTTATGAAGGAGGAAATGATCTACACACACCAAACAGTTTGTGTATCAGGATGTA